ACTAGAGAAAACCACTGCAAGAGAGGCGACAGTGCAACAGACAACACACACTTTCGTCTCTGCATTGCATCAATACTACTCCTCTCATCATCATCATCACCATCATCAGTATGCAATAAAGTGAAAAATAACAACAACACTGACTATTCACAAAAACAGCAACATAAACTTTATTTTATTTTGCATCATACCCTGTGTGCAAGAAAACACAACCCAAGTGAAAAATACAAACTACACCAAAAGAGTTGCAGCATCGTAGAGCAGCAGCTAGAAGGTAACAAAACCACAGTCATAGCCAACCACAAAACAAACCCTGAAAAGATCCCCTGGTAGGAGGCTCCATCTCGTCAAGTTACAACCCTCTCGAGTCAGCAATCCAACCCTGTACAGCAAGAGGAATATATTGGTATAATATACACACACTGCAATACCTTCTCCCAGGTCTCTAAAAACCCCAAGAGAAGGAAAAAAAAGAACAAGTAACAGCTTGCCAATAGAATAGGGTATCTCTTTTCTTTTTTTCTTCCCTCGTATTCCTTGCAATCATATCCATCATGTCCTCAAGGTCCACCACCAAAGAGGCACACCCAATAACAAAAATAAACCCCCACCCACTCCAAACACACACACACACCAACAACAACATTGTCAATCAAGTAGCCCAATTATCCAATAACGACAGAACACATTAACACAGCATTGGAATTCCTTACACTAACGTCTCTTTAAAGGCATCAAAGGGAGACAGTCAACAACACACAACCAAATTCTTGAGTGGACACCGACCCTCTGAACAAAATCCATCATATTCAAACTCAGTAACTCTGACTATTGAGTACTGGAACCAAATTGTTTCAGAGACGCACGAAATGTTAGCGATGGGTTTCGTTGCAAAACCACCCATCTTCTCACGTTCAGTGATTCCCCAATATTATAATAACTCTGCCCTAGCAGAACCTGTGGCAGTGCAATGTTAGCGAGTCCACATGGGCAAACCAATTCACAAATAAAAAACATTATTTCCTTATATCTTGTTTTTTTTTTCCCTCTGGAGAGGCAGTTCTTTCTCACACATATCATCGTTACCAGCAATGAATAAAACATTACCTTATTTCTCACACTTTTCTTAGAGGGTTTTCATTTACACTCCTACGCACTGCCACCCTCAGGCGGCAGTTTGATGTCACATTCTTTCTGCTTCATCTGTGTGGTCAGAACGTGGCCATTTCCCAAATCCCAGTGGAATACGGGGCAATGCAGGGTTGTTGAGTGAATTGAATGTCCATTACACTCCACTGCAGAGTCTCTTCAAAGAAGGAAGAGGGTTATCTGTCCCACACATGACTCAGTACTAACTTGATGCTCGTGGCGCAGTTCATGGCATGGTGAAACACACTTTCCCGTTTCTATGGCTGGTTGCTGCGAAAGATACAAACCCATATCCTTCCTGGTTGTCGATGGTGTAATCCCCAAAAAGTCAGCACGCCGGCACCCGTTATTCCACCTAGCCAGAAAAGACCGCGCTATGCACAAAACAAAGCAACAGACCCCGCCACCTGCACTGAATGCGGGGCACAATACTCATGCAGGAACACAGCAGTAGTACATATGGTCAACAAACATGGGTTCAAGAGAGCCGATGCGCTCTGGAAGATCAAATTCCCCCATGAGCCACCTCCGCCACCCCCACAACATTACCCCACCCCACTTCGCCCTAAAGCAAAACCCCATCTGTTTGCCTGCAGTATATGTAAACGAACATTTCCGCTTCAAAATGGACTAACGCGCCACCCTAGATACATGCACAATGTCACATACCTTGTCCCAGAGAGAAAACGCCCGCGAGCCGATGAACCGATACCACTAGAGGAATCAGCATTCCCCTGTGATAAATATGATATGGTAGCGCGCTCTAAAAGAGGTCTCAAATCCCATATTAGAGCACGGCATCCTGAGAACCCCACAAAATACGTACCCAAAGTTCAACTCATACCGCAACTTGCTTCGCTGCGCTGCGAATTTTGTTTACGCGACTTTGGCAACATTGGAACGCTCGCATGCCACACAAAGTTTAAACACCCACCTGGAACCCCAATTCTGCCAGCAACAATACAAGTAACGTTTCCGAGAAATAACAAGAAACGCCAGCGAGATTCATCGTCGACACCACCAGAGCGTGAGGAGAGAGAAAAAATTCAATATGGAGTATGCCAGAAGTTCTACGCCCATCTAGCCTCCCTCTTCTTCCACTGCAGAAAATTCTACGAGGGTCAAGGGACGCGTACAAAAGAAAGATCCACAAACACTCCCAGAGCAAACCGGCGGAAACAAAAGACCTTCCGGCACTAGTTTGCCCCACATGCAATCGTAAGTAAGTATGAATAAACAGGACCAAGACCACACCGTATTTCCCAAGACAGTTGTCTCATCTTACTCGCGCACGCTGATCAGTTAACTCATAGACTGCAGAGAACCATCCTTGCAGAATCGTATCCTATCCACTTTATTGTTATCTTAATGAAGCATCGGTCCATTTTTCCTTCATGGCGTCAATCATGTTAAGGACGGTGTTCTGCGATTTGGAGTCATGCCCGACACAGAATTGCGAATCGGGAAAAGAAGAGGATGGGAAAAAGAGGAACGAGCTTCACCCATGTGTCTACGCAAAAAAAAAAAAAATAAGTCAATCAATATAAAAACAGATTTTATACTTTTCATTAACGCTTCCTTTTAACCAAACCAACCATGATCATTATTCCACCATCGGTTGAACTTGGTCAATCTCCCCTAAAGGAGAGAAGAAAAGTGTACTTGTATTAAGAAAGAAAAAGAAGAAGAGAAAGTGAATGTTTACGCTTCTTGGTCACCTTTCATAGAAGAGTTCTACAACCTCTTGTTAATGGAGGAATATAGTAATGAGTGACATAATTCATTGTGGTAAAAAAAAAAACACACCATCCAGATCTATTTTTTTTTTTTTTAAAGAAGGTTTGAACAGTGAGAAACATTACGCGGGATAGGTATACCCTCTTTTTTTTCTCATAATTTCCCTTCATCTCCTGTTTATCACTAATCTACAGTAGTCACGCAAAGAAAAAAAAAAAAAAACAGCATTACCAATGAAAATAATGGCACTGAAAGAAACTTGGAGTTTTCTGCTGAAGGTACCACAACAGAGAAAATAAAGCATGCCAGAAAGGCATCTTCTCCAGTCATCCAAAGGCAGAAAATCCTCTTTGTACAAACTTAGTTACTTAGCATCATTAAATGCATCACTCTTTTACGACGAGAAAAGATAAAATAAAACTAGACACGCGATTGCAGATTATCTGTGAGATTCTTCTAGTACATAAATTAGGAAGCTTCACCTTCTTACACCACAGACAGAAATAAGCAAAACAGAGTTTACACTCTATTATTATTAATTGAAACTAATAACGCGCTTTCGCATTTTAGTATCACTCCCTCTTCGCTTCACTGGTTGCATAAATGTACTACAAAGGTCCTGGAAGAAAGGAACGTCCCTCAATGTTGTTCTCCACATGACGAGCCATAGTATGACGATGAATCCACATCCCACACCAAGGGCAATGAGTGCAGTTGATGCACCAAGAAGTGTTTCACCAATGTTACTGCTTATTGCTAACATTCTGAGACTATCAGTGATACCCATTACAATAAATTAAATATACACACAACACAGAGAAACATATATAAAGAAGAAATAAATAAATAAAAAGAAGAGAGCATAAATGTACGAATGAGCAAAATTGAACATATTAACTAATAATAAAAACAATAATAAATACCAAAATCCCCCTTCTTATAGGAGATTCATACTTCTAAGATAACAAAAAAAAAAAAAAATGGGTTTCATCGCTATTATTTCTTAATACAGTTTAAACTATTTGTTTTGACACCACGTGTGGGAGGAAAAACAATATATTCATTGCCAGGTCTCACGTGGGAACTATTTAATGAATGACCATGTAAATGATCATCAATGCGAGATAAACGTCTGTTTACTGACATTGAACCAATATAATTGTTAGTTTGACCAAAAAAAGGATCTTTTAAAAGTTCTCGTGCGGTCGGTCGCTTCGAAGGGTCATGAATACAACACCGCATAATTATATCTTTAGCCTCAACTGGAATACTTTCATCTACTTGGGGAAGAAAGGTTTCAACATGGCCAACACTGTAAAGAAAGGCATGGGGATTCATTTTACCCACATCTGGCCAAGGAACCTTACCGCTTAATATTTGTGCCATCATAATACCAAAACTCCATATATCAGAAGCTTTTTCTACTCTACCACGTACTGCTTCAGGGGCAACATACAATGGAGTTCCTTCTAGTTGTGCAGAAGTATATATCATTTGTAAACTTCGAGATGTACCAAAATCACTCAACTTACATACCCCATTTTCTAGTAGTAAAACATTTTGGGGTTTAATGTCACGATGAACAATGTTCTTCCCATGTAAATATTCAAGTCCTTTTAAGACATCTCTTAAATAACGCTTTGCACGACTTACATCTATCTTTGATAATTGACATAAAATATTATAGAGACTTCCACCACTTGCTAATTCCATAACAACTAGAAGTCTATTTTTTAATATGGCACAAGATATATATCCTACTATATTTTTATGTCGTAATCTAGATAGCATACCTACTTCATTAATAATACCATCTAGGGCCTCCTGTACATTAGCCTTAGCAATAATTCCTTTCCTACGCAAACGTCTAAGGGCAACACCACTCATTCCCTCTATTTCTGACCGTTCTACCATAGGTAAGTGAATTGACTTGATAGCAACTAATGCACCATTTTGTGACAATCCTAGACAAACTTTTCCATTCGCTCCTTTACCTAAGACACGATCGGAGAGACGATACATCATCCCTTGTCGATCACGAAATTCAATGATAGGAAGCTCCTGATCTTGTTTTAACGATTTTTCCTGAGTTAAATAATTCTTTTCAGTTTTTTTAATATTTTCTGTGGTTTGAATACCTTCACAATTAAAAGAATAAGACGATTGGGTATCAGTCACTTTAGATATAACTTCTCGAAGATGATCTTCAACTGAACTTGCCTCCAATTTCCTCCAATGATATGAATTTCTCCTGCGATGTTTCTCAGTATTATTAATTCCTTCAACCTCTACAGGAAATAACTTCCATTGAGGAACACGTCGTTGATATATTCTACCACTTTTTTGAAGATATATACATAACTGACTCATTCTAAACGCTTGCCAATCATCACGATTCTCATTGTAAACTTCAGAATACATGTTTTCTGCGATATCGTACTTTTCTAATTTAAATGCATTGAATGCCTCAATAAACTTGTTATGATACGGAAGATAGGTATCAATAATTTCATAAACCACATGAACATTACCTTCAAAATCTGTCACATGGTCCATTGGAAGAGGATAAAAATCAAGAGGACAATAATCTGATAAATTCCCTGTACACGCACATTTTATACCTAAAGCTATCAACAATGAAGGAAGTTCTTCTCCAAGTGTGACACAGCCTCCGTAAACAACCATAGATCTTTCTTCTTCTGCTCCAACAATTCCAGTCAAAACCTCTCCTGAGGTAGTTACTACAACTGGATTAATTTTAGAAAGTGCGGTATAACCCAAATCAAACATGAATGAATCAAGAGCTGTTATTAATTCACAAGCATACAGCATTCCAGTTTTTTCATGATTAGGGTTATCACTAAAGGCATTCCATACAGCTGTAACTCTCTCTGGTGTAACGCTTAATAATGTTCCACTATGTTTGTCTGCAAGCTCTGTCACTATAGAAAAAAATTCCTGGGATAGATAATAAGAACTTCGTAAGTCTTCATCTACATTCCTAGCAAAACCTGATAAAAATGCCACTACTACTGTTACTTTTTTAGTTTTTAATCCGGATTCAATACCACGACGTATTTTAGAAATATTCAAAGATCTATATGAGCATTCAGTATCAACCTTTTTTGTCCCATCTGCCAAAAACGCAAGACTCTTTCCTGTCTCGTCGTGTGAACGGTTCAGAGAGGATTCTTTTTGAGATGGAAACTGCGAGAAATTTTGTGGATTCACTGTGTTTGAAACATCCACTATTGTTGTCGTTGCTGCTGTATTTGTTATTGTCGTTGCTGTTGTCGTTGCCGCTCCCGTGGGAACTGCTGTGGGTGCTTCAGAAACAGCAACGGAAACACCTTCTTCTATCAGTGTGTTCGCCTCATCACCTGGGGTTTTATGAAAAACTGCATCAGGAAGCCATGTACGAAACAAACGAAGAACGAGTGAAATGTCATTAATAGCATCTTGTGCATTTTGTAATTCGGTTTGTGAAGAATAACACTCCAGAAGAAACGTCTGCTTTTCTGTTATGATATCCACATCACGGTGATCATTAACGTATAGTGGTACACTTTCCAAGCGAAGCCGGTTTAATAGATCAAAGGAGAAAAACAACTGACAAACTTCACTTACCAACTCCATAGAGACTCGACGAAGATACCGCACTGCGGCCACTGCAAAAATTAAATATAGGAGAACGCAAAGTAAAGAGACACCAATGAGAACACCTCTGCCCTGATCGACTGTAGAGGAGGCGATTGTCCCACCACAAGTGTCTGCCGCACGTCTTGTAGAATTGTTAACCAAGCGATAATCAATGTTAACAAACAATACAACAGCTACTAAACAAAGACCTGCGAAAATAAAGTAAAATAGTGTACCAAATATTGAGACATCCGACAAGGAATAGAAAACTGAAGGCTCCATCTTTGGCCTCACCTCACCAGGGGAAACTTCCCTACTAGGTAAGGTGGTCTGTGCCTCATCTACATTTATTTCTAGGGGTAAGACATCACCCCGTGAAGACGGCATTTGTCAACTCTAATTGCCCTTGACTATTCGTTTCGTACTTCGTCTATTTGGGTAATCGAAAAGTCATCCTTTGTGTTCCCACACATAATGTGTAGTACATAATCAAAGAAAAAAAAAAAAAAAACAGAGGGTGAAAGAAAAAAAAAGTGAAAAACAACAACATTTTTTTATTCAAGATCTCAATATACATTTAATCCAGATATCAAAATAAAGATCCCCATATTATAAAACCGAACGCTTCTTTATTTATCATTCCTTTTTCTTCACACGTTTCTTCCCCTCTCCCTCATATTGCTTTTTTTTTTTTTTTCTTTTTCCTATTGAAGTTCAGGAAAAACGTTTGTACACTGATGCTCACACGGTCCTGGATGACAAATCTTTTCACATACTTTCCCACAGCATGATAACACCTTCCCACATTTTTTCCCACACGAAACAGTCTTTCGATAACAAGGTAAAAAGTAAGGCATTACCTTTCTATGTGAGTCACATTTTTTCTCAACTGGAACAACACAATCTGGACATTCCTCCTCAATATGACATGGATGATTGGGAGGATGACCACATGGACGCGGAACTATACACGGGTGACTGCAAATAGGAGGTTTAGTCCCACATGGCACCGGTGGTTCAACCCACGTACGTCTACAGCGACAATAAAGTCGTTCGTATGAATTATTGCTACATGGTAAACAGGGACCCTTGTGGCAGAGTTGTCCACAGTTGTGTTCTCCACAAGGCAATCGTTTTGTACAAATTCGATAGCAGGTGTGATCTTCATTTGTACAACAAACTTCTTTACAAGTGTGTTTTCCACATGACAAATTCATTCGACAAGGTTTAGTACAACGCGGTGGGTAGCATAGTTCTGCCTTTGCGATCGGTATTTTTGCCCTTTTTACTACTTCTTCCCACTCCTCAGAAGGAATGTAGGAACAAAAACAACGATATTTAATTACACGTGAGCCACAACCACAGCGCTCCGAGACAAGTTCCATACATGGTGGACATACAGCACTTTCATGACACACCGCTGTGCAAGTATGACCGCATGGAAGAGGAGCCCCACAAATCTGTCCACACGATGGAATAGGATCCAAGCAAGACTTTCGTGGAGATTTAACAAGTTCATCAATGCGAACTTTACCACACGAACAGAACAAAAGACGATCAGGAGTTTGTAAACACGGCTGACAAGGACCCTTGTGACACTTAAATAAACAACGATGGTTTCCACAGTCCAGTAGTTTTGAGCATGGCTTTGAACAGGAAAACGATTCATCCTCACCGCAGCGTCGCTTCCTTTCTGTAGATCCACAATAACATGTTTCCTTCACCATTACAGAGCAAATGGAGCAAGGACCTTCGTGACATGGTGCTTTACAATAATGATTCCCACAATCCAATAACTTACCGCAAATTTCGTTACACTCAAATCCATGAATACCACTTGAACATCCAACAGTTTTTTCCGATTTACCACAAAAACAAACTTGCGTACGTGTTAAGGCACACGGAGGACATGGTCCTGGATGACACATAAGAGTACAGGAATGCGTACATTTACTGTCTTTACGTCTCTTTTCACACATCTGACCGCATGAACCCGGAACCAAGAGAGGATCTGGGATTGGATCCTTTACCTTTCCACAGAAACATCTACACTCAACTATAGATGATGTTGGATTAAGTGATTGACAGAGAGGACAACGAAACTCATGCATAGAACATTGAGTAAGATCTACAACACCATTTTGTTTTTCTCGCTCCTCCATCTGTGCTTTTACCCACCTTCTAATGCATGTTAAATGCATAACTCCGTAGCAAACAGGACAGGCATAAAGACTATCACGAAGACGAATGGTTTCACTGCAAATAGGACAATCATAGGAACCTTCTTTCAATCTTTCCGACAACTCTTTTGCAAGCTCTGTCGCTTCTTCCATGTGTTTTTACACCCGATGGTTTCTATGGAGGGGGAAACAAAAAACGCAGGGGTTCTACTCTAGTTTGCTTCTCTCTAATGTGACTAAAAAGAAGAAGAAGTAAGAAGAAATAAAATAAATAAATAAATAAATAAATAAATATGCAGTGTGAGCAATAGAAAGTGCAAACACATTTTTTTTTTTTTGATTTTTTTCCTTTAAGCATTAGAAATCCGATGACACCAATCAATTACTTCTCTTACCTCAATCGGGGAATTTACCTCTGTTAAGTCTCTATGCGAATAAAGAAGAAAAAAAAAAAAAAGAAGATTGAGTGAAAAAAGAATATTCATAAAGGTGTAGAGGGGCAGAAGAGGAACAAGTAGAAGAAAAATTAGAACCTGCGTGGTGGTGGAACTGCTGCTCCTGTATTTGGCATACGAGGTGCTTTTCCCCTTGTGGGCAGCGGTGCGGCCCTTGCGGTGTTCGCCACGCGCGGCCTCTTTGCCGGTCTGCCATTGTTGCGATCCTCATCGTCTGAGGCGTATCCACGCTTGCGATCGTGTGCCTCCGCGCGTCTTTCCATCTCGTCCCAACTGAGAGCACTTTCGTCGTCTTCTTCGTCGCTGCTGTCGGGCTCACTCTCGTCGTCCTCGAGAAACGAACTGCCGGTCTCATCCGAGTCTTCGGTGTCCTCCTCCTCGATGTATGTTGAGTCGTCCGACTCGCTTTCCTCCTCGTCCTCGTCCTCCTCGTCGCCGTCGTTGTTGAGAACCGCCCAGCCGGCGCCGGGCCGCCACGGGTCCCACTCCGGGTCCTCAAGTATCGTCTTCATCACAACCTTCCAGTTGGGGTTCACTGTTGTCTCCATGTAGTACAGACGCGCCGCAAGGCACCAGTCTTTGATCGCCTCCAGGCTGCTCCGCGGGATTGTCGTAATAGTCACAGCAGGCTTATTGTAGTCCTTGAAAATAAGTGACATGTCAAAGGTAGATCCACCAGGGATAACACGCTCAAGGGAAACCACTTCAATATCAGCCACACGCTGTGTAAAGGGAGGTCTGTCAGAGATGGCCCAAAGAACTTCACGGTTTGCTTTAAACGTCGTCAGACCTTTAGCGTGAACTCCATCAAATGAAAAATTGCTTACTGGTATTTGTGTCTTTATATTACCCATCTTTTCTACTGCTTGGGCAAAACGCATAAATTGTTTGTTTGTTTCACTGATACGCATTTGTTCACGTTCTTCTGCAGCAATTTCTTCTTCATAAGATTTTCGCGTTCCTGTAACACCTTCACTACTCTCCATAACATCGGCGACAAATTGAACTTCGTCTACACTTTTACGTGCAATTTCCACTCCTTTTTTTAATGTAATATGATAAATAACTCGAATAGAATTCACCGCAGGTTGAAAAATAATATGTTTTACGTTATCAAATAGTAAATCTACTGGTGGACCACCAATGTAGGAAAATCGAAGTCCATTTTGATGAAGTTCAAGGTTACCAATACAATCTTTATTTTGTCGTCCAGTTGTTGCTGTGGGACGAATCTTGACTTGAGGAAGTCGAAGTGGATTAGGTGTTATGTTAAGTTTAGCAGTTCCTGCACTTGCAGAGGCCCTTCGTCGTTCTGTGTCTCTATTTTTTATTCTCTGATGAATACCTTGAATGGCAATTTTAACCTCTGTAAAGACATCTCGTGGAGCACGGTAGCTTAATTCTTTAACAAAAATTTTTGTTCGATTAAGGCGGTAGGCGATGTTTGCTTCTTGTAAGGAATGAAATGTAACGGTACAAGTAACGTAATCACCCTCTGGTTTCACATCAATTTTATTAATAGTTGAAGCATGAAACGCTGCCACAGATCCGCATATAGGAAAAAAGACAACTTCTTTTTCAACATGTACATAAATACCATTTTTAGCTTGTGGTGGGAAAGAACTCTCTTTAGGGTAAGGAATAATGTCACCATATGAAACTCTTCCAATTTCATACACCCGTAATTCCTCTGTAACTGCTGTTGTAGCTTTTTTCCCTCCAGCGGCGATTAACTCGGCATGTAATTCCCTAAGAAGAGACTTTAATTTTTCATCACGTGCTGATTCTCTTGATAAGAGAGGAATACTGCTCTGTCCTTGACGAGTGATTTTTTGAAGATCACGTTTAATAGGGTTAAAGGCTTCCTCCTCAGCACCCCCATCATAGAGAATTTCCTCCAATTTACGTGATGTTTTTGTATTAATTTGAGCAGCACCTTCTTTAACAGTAACAGTATCAGATAATTCCAAATCAAATGTTTCACCTGTGCCATCATCCACTCCTTCAAGTGTTATACGAACAACAAAGGCCATTCCATCTGCAATAATAGCCGTCCCTTTTTCAGATATTGATCCTCGTGCTTCAAGCACCAAAAGGCCAGTGGAGAAACCCAGAGAGGTTGAAAGATGCTTGGCTAGTCCTTCATTAATTGACTTGGCGTAGCTTAAAGTTTTCTCGTACACTTCACTTAGTTTTATACCCACTCGGAGAAACTCAATCACCTTCTCACTTACGGAATAAACAAATTGATAAGCCTCTTTCGCTTTTTCAGGAGCATTAGTCTCCACAATAAGAGTACGAGCGATGAATGCAGTATAACCACAGTTCTTCACACCATACCGTACAACGATTACATCTCCACGAAGTGGTTGTGTACTCACCTCAGTTGTTTGAATTTGGGAGCTGTACGTTCCACGATGCATAATACACGGAGTTAAACCAGAAGCGATTGAAAACTGTGATGTATCAAGAGTTTCAAGACCTTTAACGGTGTTTGGCATTTCAAGTTTTTGACTTAATTCTTCTCTTAAAGAACTTAATGATTTAGGGTTTGTTTTTTGGATCTCTTCTTCTATTAAACCACGCACAAAACGTCGGAATACAGCATTACAAAGTCCTGCCGCCTTTTCTACACACGAAAGTGCAGCTTCATCCTTTACAAAGAGGAACTCACCAAGAAGTGGTGCCACTTCAACCCTTCGCTCAGCAGGAATGAGAGTGTTCATTAGTGTAATTATTTTAGTTGCAAACTCACCCTCCTGTATGGCCAACTCTTTTTGGCACATCCCAACAGTTGCACCTGCAAGGAATGATGAAAGCAACTCAGCAGAACTATCATCAAACCGAATGGCCGTATACGTGTAGCTCTCGGTATTTGACGGTAATTCAATGGAGACTCCGTCGTGAACCACACACATCTTATCAAAAGAAAACAATACGGCAACGTTACAGATGGGTATTGGTGAACTGAAAAGGCTTTGTACAATTGCTTGTCCTCGCTGATTTTCGAGTGTGTTTGGAGTTAATGCACCAAAAAGACAGCACATCACTGTACATCCCCCCGACGCGTTTTGAGCCTTTTTCCACGCGGACAAAATATTCGCCACGCGCGCATTAGAAAGAGTTAGCACAGACATTTATCCTACGAAAAAAAAAGAGAAACAAAAAAAAAGAAAAAAAAAAAAAAAACGACAAAGCTCTAAAAATGCGTGAATGGTAAAGAAAAAAAAATAAGAAGAAAAAAAAAAAAACATCTCGAAAAAAAAAAGAAAAAACGTATATTCAAAGAAAAATGAGAACATAGAAGATGAGAATACACAATTAGTCGATTCCACAGATACATGTTTCTCTGTGATATCATAACACAATAAAAACGCATCCTTTCCCTCAATCCTCTTTTACACAAACACAAATATATATATATATATATAAGTATATTGTGACTATTTGACACGTTTGTATTTAAGAATCTTTGCACGTCTTGCCTCTTCTTGCTTCTCATGTGCCTTTGTTCGAAGACCCATTAATTTGTACTTTCTAGCCTTCTGCATATTCTGTCTGTATTTTTTACGTGCTTCAAAGTACTTTTTCATGTCATATACCTTCTTCTTTGGTGGAGCTACAGTTGGTTTAGCGCTCTTTGCATCCTCCAAATCCGTTTGGGATACCAATTGAGTAGCTGCAAACTCATCACGGAAGTACATATAAAGAGGTGGGCTCAAAAGTTGGCACTCGTCTGTTGACAACTTAGAGATATCCTCCTCTGCGGAGGGAATAAAGGTTGGAAAAGCCGGTAACCCTCTATGCTCATTCCATAGCGTGTACCCCTTTGTGTTAATGGTGTCGCTAAACTTGACATATGTGCCAACATCTGCGTCTATCAGAGTTGGGAGGTAAATGAGTGAATTCTTGTAGTCTATACGCCAGACTGGGACCCCCTGGTATGTCTCTGCGGAAGCGCCTGTCTGTCCTGCCATGCGGTGTCCTGGGAATATACGCTTCTGCCCTTCTGTGCCCATGCAGCCCGGCCGCCGCTGCCACTTGGAGTCGCCGAGCCACACGTAGCCGCCGTCGAAGCCGTGGCGGAACATCACGCCGCGGTAGCCGTAGTCGCTGTTCTGGAAGGTGATGGTCACCTCCTGCCCGGGCTTGAAGTGCCGCACGTCGAGTTTCGTGCCAACAGGCGCGTAGGCGTCCGGCGTGATGGGGAACCCCGCGCAGACGTGTTTCACCGGCACTCCCGCCGCCTTGTAGAAGGCCGCCACGTGCGGCTTGTGGAACTCCACCGGCACATTCATCGCCCCAACATACACCTTGTCTGTACCAACATCTCCATTGCGAGTGCTGTGCTTCACAATCTGGTTGTCCGGAAACCAAAATGCAGTGCAATCAAACTGATTACCCAATTCATCATAGTCTTTACACGTAAAGGCCTTCACACCAATAAGACCAAATCTGACAGAGTAGAACATATTGAATTCACCAAAAGGAGGAGGATTATCCCAGGCACGCGTGTCTTGATATAACTCTGGAAACTTCTCACGAAGTCGAATAAACGCATCATACTTGTCTTCTCTAATAGCATCATAAGTAGTCTGTAGCTGCTCAGGTTGCCATAAACGGGGATTCTCTGGGATTTTCGGATACAAACTCATCTTATCACCATGATCAAAAAGATACGGGTAGTAACAGTGATACATATCACGGTCCTTCTCCTGCATCAGAGAGGGATAACAACGGTGCCAATCTGTCCGAATGCGTCGATCACCCGGGCCGCCTCCAGTTCTCATTCGACATTGTATAGACACAGTAGAAAGAATTCTACCATGTACACTACCGCGTCGCATTTGTACTAAGGAACGCATCTAAATACCTATATCCATATATAAATATATATTTAAATGATATATAAAAAAGACGTTAAAAAACAAAACAAAAAAAGATACCGTACAAGACAACATTCATCCATAAGAAGAACGAACAATTATATATATATATATATATATTAATACACAAAAGAGAACCTTTCTTGTTTTTCTTGTTCTTCTTTCTTTATAAATAAATTATACACCAATAGAAAGAAAAATAAAAGTATTTCATGTGTTGTGGGAGGTTCTCCTCCTCATTCCTATTTAATGGGTCATTTGGCATCTATACCACTAGGTGATGAGTTCCGCTCACTCTTGTTAATTTTGTGGACAGGGTCATATTCTTGTGTGATTTCAAATAAACGGCTTTCCAACTGAGAACGGAATGGGTGTTGTGGCTCCATCAGGGTAAACAAAGAACGTATGGTGGAGAGATCACGTGCCGTCCGCGTGTTGAGCACTGCAAATTCAGGCATATCTGATCGCAGCTGCTGTACTTCAAAAGGTGCGTGTTTAAACCAACGATGGGGGAAAACACGCCAGCTTGCTCGCTCTAAAGGTTTTCGGTATTTGTGTACACCATCAGAGCGACAGTCCCGGCAACCCTTACCGGCTGATTCAATCATTCGGTCCATAACTGGTTTTGTAAGAAGCAAAAGCAACTTTTCACCGAATTGAAGAAATAATTGTGTTGCCTCCTTCAATTCTTCCTCCGTTCTGTAACAATTTCTACGTTGAAGACCCTTATTATGCTCATGAAGCAAACGACGTTTATGTTCATGAACTGGTTCTCGAAAACGACGAGCGCAACGTCTCTCAAAGAGGTCTTTCGTTTCATCCGGGTCTGTTTTCCGCAGGTGATTAATCATAGCGTAGCAGAGATCGTGAATCTCTTGTGATGCCGCCTCAAGTTCGTCAAACTCACCGGCAAATGCATCTTCCTCAAATGATTGAGAAACTCCCTGTACCAGATCACCGCTGCCAGTACTACTACTAGTACTATTAGTATCATTAATATTTAAACCACCTTTTGGGTTTCCCAATGCCGTTTCAGCTTCCACTCTCTCTTGCTGTAGAATCCAACGACATGGTGAACGCACTACACCAAGTTGAAACGGACTAACGCCAAGCAATGGGGAATACCTACAGCAAAATCTAAGCCCTCGCATTACTTTTGAGTAAAGTCTAATAAACTATCCCCTACACCCCAAACTCCTAAACAGAAAGGCAAACCCGCAAAAAAAAAAAAAAGACAAGACATACATTCTCTAACTTACAGTTATCATCTCAAACAGTCATTCAGACCTTTTAAAAAGGTTTTCATAAACTTTTTCATCCCTTCTTTACACTTTTGTTGATATTGTTTTCTCTTTACACTTCCGATCTTATTTCTTGCACATCATTGAAAAGACTTCTTTTCATTTCTCCTTCCCCAGATATGTTATTTCCCCCTTTACGTCGCATACGAGCATCTGGTAATGAAAGAAGTGAAACAATTTGGACACCCTCAATTTGCGCAGCCATATCCACAAAACACGTTTTGGGTTCCATCTTAACACTGTTCATTGCTACTACTGCCATTGAAGAGAATAAAGTGTCACTTGCAATGAAGTCCAAAGATACACTGATCCCTCGGCTTCTCGGCGTGAAGTGGCACCGCAGACGTTTTTTATTACCTGTTTGACTGGCCAACGTCTCCAACTCTTGCAGAGCTCCACACTCTGTAAAGAAAGAAGGTGAAGATCCAGGATAACAGAGATACGATGGAGCAAAAGAGCGGAGTACAGATGACGGATTTCCAACGGCATCAAACGGTTTTGGCATTTGTTCAATATTTCTGAATCGAAAAATAGTAAACCGTGGTGTAGGAATTAAAGAAACTCGGAGAGTGTTAAGAAAAGGAAGTGCTCTATCGCAAAAAGAAGATCCCCACATTTTGGAAGCAAATACAAATCCAAATCGTCTCAGAGCAAACATTCTAAGTTTATGTTGAAGATTATAAATAGCTTTCTGTGAATCATGTTGTACATCTTGCAAAGAATCTGGTACCCCCAGCATACCTGCAAGTGCATCACATGCAGTTATAAGGTTAGAAATATAAAAGGAGGAATCTAATCCTACCCCTGGCATCCAAGCCTCCATTCCACTAACAAGATTAGGCATCTCATCGGTATTATATACAGAATCACGCAAAGTTTCAATAGAATTATGGCTAAGCACATGGTTTAACACCATGTTGTCCGTCAGACCTATGCACCCTCGAGAAACCTCTCCTTCACATACTTGAGATCTTTCAAAAGAAAGATGTTGTTGTAAAAGTGAAACTTCGTAGGCTCCAATATAACGATAAAGAAAAGGAACAGCAGATATTGCCGCGTAGATAGCATCATCCCTATCTTTCGGAGTAGATGCCACCATAGAGAGCTCTACAACTCTTGGAAACCAAAGAAAAGTATTATCCACGTCATTTAGTCCATTTAGAAGATGGTTAACAGCGTTTGGTAGCGCAGAGCAGAAAGAGTGCATGGGTTCTACTGGATCTTTGCCGTTAGCGATATCCAAAGAATCCTGCACTAGCCTTTTATAAACTTGAGTGACTTCACCCTTCATATCATCATCATTATTATCATCATTATCACTTTTATTATCATCCGCATTCAACTTCAAAGAAGATAAAGCTTCACCAAGTTCAAGAAGACGCATAGCATATGCATTTTGTATGGAAAATTTTGAAGATAACAAAGAAGCAAATGAACGACACAAAATAGGATACCATGTTCCACATCCATTAGAATCTTTTTCTATGGAAGTTACATAATTACCCAAAGCTACAAGAAGAGATTTATATTTTGCTTCTGTAGAATCACATAAAAGAGAAATAGATAAACGATTTATCCCAGTAATACTCCGTTCAAAAGAAGATGCAGTGGTGTCAGCACATCGTGCATGCTTCGAGACTAAATTTCTTATACGTTCAGTAGTCCATTCTTTTGATTCACTAAAAAGACTCTCTTGTCTATTGTTGAAGGTCATTGTGTTTAGCTGGTCCGTGATGTTACGTTCCTTCAATAACCATAAAGAACCGGATGAAACACTCCATCGTTCCTCAAGTGCAGCAATAACAGAATCATAGTGTTGAGACTCAAATTTGTCTAAAAACCAACCCATACATGGCCTTCCATCAGGCATCAGCACAACATCACACAACGTGGTCGTATCATCTTCCGATATCTCCGCAGACTCCACACATTTGAAGTTATTTTCCAGCAAACGTTCCATTGAACGCACTATAGGCGGTGTGAGACTCATACCAATGCCGTAGCGAATGTGTTCCACGCACTGAACAAAGAAATCCCGCTCGCGGTCATTGAAACATCTCACGTTGGCCCAAAAAGAAGGAAAATCTTTTGCAGGAGATCTTTCTGTGTGTTTCCCTTTCGCAGGCCAGCCAATGGCAAAGCGAATAAGACAAGGACACATCGCTGATCTACACTCAGCAACAGCAGCTACATGCCATTTACGCCATGAAGACATAGGCTATCTGCCTGCTTTATTTCGCCTAGCAATAATAATAAAAAGAAAAAAAAAAAGAAAAAAAAAGGAAAGAAAGAGTAAACAAATAAATCAAAAAAGAAAAAAAAAAGAATAAAACACAATATTACAAGAGAGAATGAGAAAATAAGTTCTCACCCCTCATAAATATACTCCAAGTATTCCAAAGAGAGTAAAATAAATAAAACCGTTAATCTTCCTTACGCGCCTCGAGAGCTGCAGGTCCCATAAGACGAATACTTGTAAACAATTTCACATCATCCTCTGTAATATTTTTACGTGCGTCCTGATGACGTTTAACAATATCTGTTAGAATGCCTATCAGCATCTTTTTAACTTCCCCTGTCATGGCACGTCCAAGCATGTAATCCTTCTTAATCTGCGCAAGCTTCTCATCATCTTCCAGGAAGAAACTTAACCACTGGATGGGGACATCCACATCGGTATTAGCGCCAAGAATTAAGTGTTCCTCCTTTGTTGCACCGCCCCCACTAAAGGCATGTTTATTAATTTTCTCCTTTATCATCTTTTCTGTATCTGTGAGAAGCACAGCTGCCCCGGTGGAAGAACTCATCTTCCCCTTGGAACCACTTAGTCCAGGAAAGAATTTTGAGTGAATCACAGCAGGTTTTAATAAACCAAGACGTGGGGCAATATCACGTGTAAGACGAAAGTAGGGATCTTGATCAATAGCTTGTGGAATTAAACAAAACACATTTCCCTTTGATGGTGGAAAAATATGTGGAAAAGATGTTGAGAATGACGGTGCTGCCTGAACTGCTGGGAACATCCAACGACCGCAATTGTCTTCCATCTTGAATCCAAAACATCCACGGACTTGACTTGCCGTGAAGGTTCGCTCAATTCTCGCCACTGTGCGGTACATATGACCCATATAATCAAAGTTACGAAATATAAATGTCAACTCTGGATCAAATCCCATGGCAATGATATCTTTAATGTTTTCTGTTGTCATGGCTTCTATCTGTTCAATGGAGATATTACGAAAGTAGAATTTTTCATCATCCGTCATTTGAATAACGAGTGGCACCTTAAATGCATCTTGTAACCATTTTGTAAACATAAAAGGTATAAGATGACCCATATGCATAGACTCACTACTTGGGCCTCGTCCAGTGTACAAATAGAATGATTGTCCAGACTCATAGACATCCAAGAGAAGATTTAAATCACGGTGAGAAAAGAAGATACCGCGACGAAGAAAATGATGTGGTTTCTTCCCAATGACGCGTTCTAAACGTTCAAGCAGTGCCTCGTCAATCGGATGACTCCCGAATTCCTTAATGAGTTTATCATAGTCCACGTCTCCCTCAACAGTCCAAGGTGTAACCACAGCTGCCGACATTATTTATTCTTATTTATTTTTTTTTCTTTTTTTTTTTTTTTTTCTTCAATCCCCTTTTTCTTCCAAATGTATGTTTGATTACCCCTAAGAGTTTATTCAGGTAGAAATAATAAGGACTCTGTTATGTAAAGAAAGGGAGAAAAAAGTATAAATATTCCCAACTCCATCCCATTCCATTCCATCCCCCAAGACATAGACACAAAGTATTTTAAAAATAAAAATAAAAAAAAAGAAAACAAAAAAAAAAAGCAATACAATCCGTTATTTTTTGGCAAGAGTCATCCAGAGAAATAGACCCACTTGCAATGATTGATTCCATCATGCATTCTCTTGCTCCTTCCACGAACAACAACAACAACAACAACATAAAAAAAAAAAAAGAAAGAAAGAAAACAAGAGAAAAAAAAGACAGTTTTATATCAACATAAAACTCAATGGAGGAGAACTACAACAAACACTATAAATGCTAAAACAAGGACAAAAAGGAGCATCATTTTATCTCGAGCTGGAGTTTCTCGGTATTGTAAAGCCTGTCGCAAATTATTGGTTGCATTTCTTGTCGCCCTCTCAGCTGTTCCTACATTTCCTTCAATGACATCAAGCGTTTCTCCCTGCTCATTTACCATTAGGTGAATATGATTAAATATTTCGTTGATATCTTTAACATTGTCAGCTATTTCTGATGTCTCACGTTGTCGCTCTGCCATGATTTCATCGTGGAGATCACGTTCGAACTCTTCCTTTAGAGTAGTTTTACCATTTGCTTCCCTCTGAAGAAGATCAGTGTTTTCATCTACGTCATCCACATCACTTGTTGATGCAGCTCTGCCTCGCACCTTTACGCGTGTTGTTCCTCCACCTGATCGCAATGACTCCTCAACATTAATGCACTTTTTGTAGAAGGCATCACATGACTTTTGATAGTTCTCTAGAGCTACTTTCGCCTCTGTTGTAAGTTTAATTCCCTGTCCACGCAGTTGAGTGGGGTTTAGTCGCATATACTTTTCCATGAGTCCCAAAGCATCTTGAATAACGTGAACCTCTTTGGCGTTTGTTTTGCTTGTCACCTGTTTGACCTTTTCTCGTTCCTTTTCAATATCGCGAAGTGTAGTGAGTTTGTTGGTGCTACGGCGTATATGTGAAGTGCCGCGCTCCAATGAACGCAGAGCGTCTGTCAATAAATCGCAGTTGCGTTTCCAGCTTGGATCTTCCATTATACCAATCCCTTTACTCGTGTCTTCTCCGTAACACTAATAATAATAATAGTGGCTATATAAGAAAAACAGAAATATATATATATATATATATATACCTAGATTGTACGATGGGAGAAGAGAGAGAGAGAGAGAGAGAGAGAGAGGGGAAAAGAAAAAAAATAAAGGTATCAAGTAAAACAGCAGACACGAAGAAGAGAGAAAAAAAAGAGAAGCATTATATCACAAGAGAAAAATAATTCTACATATAATACCACTCATAGCCAATCAATATACCTTTTCCGTGACTATTTCATCCAGCTTTCAGTGTATTCATTCGGTAGAATGAAAAGGAACCGCCGCTGTCAATAAAGACAAGATAGAAATCTGTGCATTCCCCTTGTCGAAGTGTATCTACTGCGTTCACTAATCCTTGCAACTCCGTCATCGTGAAATCACTGTTTTCCACCACAGGGTATGGAAGAAAGACCTTCGCACTCTCTGCAAAGCTACTTATCACCACATGCCGCTTAGTGTCAAGAGTGGTAACCTCCGACTTGTATAAAGGCAGCCGCTCACGAATCTCGTCGAGAAGGAGAGCACACACCTGCGCATCATCAATCATTGCAAGTAGCTTCCTTGCACATGTAAAAGTAAAAAAGCGGCGAAACTCATACGAAAGAGACAACACTACCATACCTCTTTACGATAACTTTCTGTTTTTTCTTTCTTTTTTCTTTTCTTTTCAAGGTAATTCATGTATCTACCACAAGACACAACCCCTCTTTTTCTTTTAACGACACACAAAAAGACATAATCAATCAAACAAACAAAGAAACATAAATATATAAAGAAAGAGATATAGAGAGAATGAGAAAAAAAAGGGAGGGAGAGAATGAAAGAAATAGAGATGGACAGAGAGAAAGGTTTATCCCTCTCTTCTTTCCTCACTTCTACTTCCCAGTTTCTCTCCCTCTTTTTTTTTTTTTTTTCTCTCTCTTTCTCTTTCACTTTCTCCATCCCTTTTCATTCTATTACTCACTCTAACAGAAATAATACACAGGTTAGGCTAGTCGAAAGTATCAGTTCTCATCATTTCATATTTGAAACCTGCTCGATGCGCTTTTGGTAGGCGTCAACGTAAAGTTTTGCTATATCATCAATGGGCTCACGAATGCCAACCCCGCGGAGTGTGGAACACTTGTAGAACTTCATTTGATTTGAATTAGCAAAGTCTTTTCCCTGGCGCTCCGACACCTCTGCCTTATCTGAGAGATCTGTCTTGTTCGCTATGAGGAATCCAATCGCGTTCTTGTTCACACGCTGAATGGCACTCAGCCACTTTGTGCACGCCTCAAACGTAATTTTGTTGGAAACATCATACATGAGAATGAACGCCGCGGCCCGCTCCAAGTATGCGGGAACCATTGTTTCATATTCCTTCTGCCCCGCTACATCAAATATGAGCATCTCTACCATGTTCTCATCATCTACGGGCACCTCCTTCACAACAAGATCACATCCCATAGTCATCAGATAGTTCTTGGGAAACGTCACACCATTGCTGTGGATCATCTGCACAAAGGATGACTTTCCTACCGTTGGTGCACCAATCACTGCCACCTGAACTCGTAAAGTCACCATAGTGTCTTTTTTTTTTTTTGTTGTTGTTGTTGTTTTAATTTAATGTCTTTCTACTCTTCTTCTTTTTTGTTCTCTTTTTTTCTTTCTTTCAATATTCTGAGAGAAATAAATAAATAAATAAAAAAGATTCAAAAAACAAAACAATAAAAGGAAAAAAAAAAACGGAGTCATGTAAAATCTCTTTTTCTTCTTCGAGGTAATTAAAAGCGAAAAAAAAAGAACCGAAATCTAGTACAAAATCATGTACACCCCCCACTTTGGTGGTGTGTATGGGAAACCAAAAAAAAAAAAAAGAAAAGAGAGAGGAGTGAGTGTTGCCTCAGAGTGTAAAACCAAATAAAGAGCGTACAGCCGTATCATCGCCTCCACGTCCGCGACTACCACGCACAGCCGCCCGTTCCAAATCCGTTGTTTGGATGAGTGTAGACGGCAAACGCCAAAGACGCACACAACCACGCACATCACCGGTGACAAGCCAATCCGGCGAGACGTGATTAAATGCCACACACATCACGGGAGCGCCATCTACACCTGCCTCTAATGAGACAATTGGTTTCAATTGCGATTTCTGAAGATCATAAATGTGCAGAAATGAGCTCCTAGAGACCATTGCTATAACACTTGGTCTAAAAGGACTAAATTGGGCTGCATAAATAAAATGTTTGCTTTCTGATGAAGGTTCTAAGGTCGCAAGTGGGGCTCGTTCCAATACATTATACAAATGTGCACTACCATCTGAAGAGCATGTTAAACATAGATTGTGAAAAAAAGGTGAAGTATCAACGCTCTGTATTGGGCCTCTATGTGCATCCAGCCAGTCTATATCAAGACTTATAGCTGTATCCGTTCCACGTGTGGCTAATGTACCAAGTACACCAGGCCGTGCACGTCCAACATCACCGTTCTCAAGACCGACAATAAATAGACTGTCCGCTGAGGGAACAGAAATCCCGCTAAGCATACCAGGTCGTGTGAAACTGGCAGCCTCTACACCAACCGTAATTCCCTTTTTGTTCTGTATAGAGAATGAGGCAATCGGTTCTGCTAATTTATTTGTCGTTGTCCAGAAGAACACACATCCATCTTGTGCTGCAGAGACGAGAATATACCGATGGGACTCTCGTACCTCCTGTATACTTTGGGTCCATTGCAGACTTGTAACCGGTTCTCTGTGCGAGACCGCTCCCTCCTCTGTGGAGACGGATGTTGGGATGTTATCTGTGATATTTGTATACACCACAACCGCCCCGCTGTATAAACCCACCGCAAGAACACCCGCCTGCGTTGGGTGAAACGCCACAGTCGTCACAAACGCGTCCGTCTCTAACGTGTGATGGGGCGTGTTCAAATCCATATCGTGACGCGACAAATTCCATATACTCACCAGTCCGCTGCTGTGGCACCACCCCACCGTATCCACACGGCCGTAGCCAACCGCGAGAAGTGTACCGTTGCAGTTCCAACTGACGGTTAGTGCGTGCAGTTCCCCCTCCACCGCGTACGCAGAACTCAGAGTGGCAACCGCCGTAATATCAGTGCTCTTGCTGGACCAGTTGGGTTCATAATTGTCAAAAGCACTGCTCTTCGCATTTCGATACAACATGGAAAGTACATTCTCCTTCGACGACTCCAAGAAGGCAGCTAGTTTGCCCTCGTCAAATTCAACTCCAGCGTAGACGTACTGTAAACCATTGAGTGTAGCTTGAATTTGTTTCTTTTCGTGTCCTACTTGTTTGTCTAATCGGTTTACTACCTGCAGTGCACTGATGTCTGTCTGCGCTGCCTCTTCCACCGTGGCAATATTGGCCGTCTGGGATCCTTCTTCACATCGTGTGATTTCTTTCTGCCATGAGGGTGGAATACTAACTTCACCAGTGATTTGGTCCTTGAAGTTACACGGTGCTGACATTTTCTTTTTTTTTTTTTCTTCTCCCTTTCTATTGCTGTTGTTATTATTTCTTATTTCTACTTCTACCGTTTCTTTTCGTTCAAAATAGAGAGAGAAAGAGAGAGAAAGAGAGGGAAAGAGAAATAAAAGAAAGTAAAGGGACTTGCAGCAAAATAATCCTTGGTAAAAAAAAAAAAAAAAAAACCACACGTTTTAGCTCCCTTCGGAAGGGATAAAAAAAGTGAAAAATATCAGCAAAATGCCAAAATAATATAAAAAAAACAGAACACAGACAATAACGATTAACTACCTTTAAAAAAAAAAAAAAAACAAGTGGTAATAATGATAATAAACGGGTAGCCACGATATAAGTGACTACAAGCACAATTGTATGAAAATGCGGGAAAAACAGTAAACAATATGATCTTGCGCACAGGATTCAAGTTAATAAATTGTGTCTGTTTTATTTCCTCAATAATAATAAAAAAAAAAACGAATGAAATACGAATCGGAGCAATAAGTAAGAAAAAAAAAAAACAGTTAAGAAAAGCAATAAAAAAAAAGATATCGAAATTTTTGGTTCAGAAGAACAGTACAAAAATACATTTTAAGCACAGTCGTGCCTCCCTTACAGCAATTTATCTTTTTGTCACCATTCCTTTTACCATTTCATCCCTTTTTTTTTCTTTTTTTTTTTTTTTCTTAAGCTTCCGAAGTTTTTATATCTTCCGATGCTATGACACAACACTCGATGTCTGTCACTGCCTTTAATACAAGAGCATAATCCTCAGGGTGCTTTGTTATGACGTCTTGTTTTTCGCAAATAGAGAGTTTAGTTCGAACCAGACTACTGAGTCGTTTAATTGTATTCATGACTGGTACATTAGTAACCATAGTAGCGATGACTTCTTTCATATATGCACCTGGTGGTTTAATTTGCATAGGTGAAAGTGACTCGCGTAATTCTACTATAAGTGAATCATCTTCAGGTGCTTGTTCAATTTTCTCTATACTACGACTCAAGATCTCCTTTGCAGTATCATAAGGATCCAAAAACATGGATTCTGTTTTACTGACATCAATAGCACTTGTCGTTGACGGAAAGGCACGATCCAGTTCGTAAGTATTAATCACCATACGTTGGTTCATTATATCCATCGCTGCATTCTCATCCGCTTCTCTCTTTTCATAGTTATGGTAAACGTTTTGAAATTTTGATATATGCACGGTTTTATCAAAACCATCATGAGGTGGTGCTTCACCCTTCTCAACAGTTGGCTGTACTTCAAATACCGTGAGCAAACAATGATTAGGGGCCTGATGCAGTGCGGCCACCCGCTTTTTCTTTGATGTTGGCTCAGGAATAGCGGGAAGTGTGTCGGCGAGTGCACTTGTGGCGACCACGAGATTGGCATCTTCGAAGAGAGACGTGATGAAGGCTTTGCTGTACTCCGCGAACTCCTCCTGCGTGGTGGCGAAGGGCATCTTGTAGACTCGCTTGATCGCCCGGCCGCCCGGCAGTCCCCGCGGCTGCTCCGGCAGCAGCGTCTCCCCCTCCTGCATCTCCCGCCGGGTCTTTGGCCGCTCCTCCCGCTCCATGCGGGCCCATAGGAGAAAATAACGATGATTCTCCCGCTTTTCATACCGGGCGATAGATGTGCACCACTTCGCCATGGACAAATGCACAACGGCAGCCCTGTTAAAGTCACTCACAGCTCGGAGATATTTATCCACAATCGCCATCGTAGCAACAGCAAACTCGTAGTATTGCTCCTTTTCAAGATGTTCGGCAGCCTCCTTTAATGTCTTTACTTGACCCTCCACCGTAAAGCATGGATCATCTGGGCATATATATAATTCCGACACAATAGCATACACAGTGTCCGCTGGTAGTAACACATCCACTTCAGGCAATACACGTACATAGTCTTGCCAAAAAACATAATCAAGTAAAGCAAAAGGCATACGTGCACCATTGGAGGTTTTCCCTTTAACATAGTAAAATACCTCCGTTACACGGAAACAGAGAGCTCCAATAAAAAAAAATACCATTCCAGCCTCTGTCATATTACCATTATTTTTATGAGTTTCATAGAGACGATGAAGCCATTTTAATACCTCACGTAATGCATTCTGACGCAAAAAATTACGTAATACTTCAAAATATGCAAATACTTTCGCTTCTTTAAAACGCATAGAATCATCCATTTGTAATCTCAGAACATCTCGAAAAAGACTAAGAGTAGACTCAGACATGCCTGCAAACTCTTGAGAAAAACGTGGAGGACCCATCCCTTCAGTTCTTTCAACTCCCAAGGTACTCATACTACCATTCCAATTTTCTGTATTATTTTGTTTACCTTTTTCAAGTAGATATTTTGATATAGGAATACGTCTTTGCACAGAGAGAAATGCTGGTTTAATATGATATTTATATGCTTCACCAGAGTTACCACCAACCTGGTTTGCATCGCTCTCATACCGGTTGTTATAATCCGGCGTTGGTGGAACGAAACGTTCTTCTTCTTTTCGGGCTCGTTCCATTAAATCATCAAACTGAAACTCAATAAAGCGACCTGCTAAGCGTAGATTGCGTGCCTTTGACTCCGCCACAGAAACCAGAGCATTTGCCGTTAGAGATTTCATGCGTGAAAGAGAATTAGTCCATGTAAAGTAGGATTGACACATAAGAAAGAATGATTGTCCAGAAATATAACGAACATATTGACAACAGGTACTCATTAAACGAAATACCAACAATACCATTCCAGTACTCATACGTGCTGTCCGACTCATAATTTCAGGAAATAAAGTGCATACCACTTCAAACATAGCAGAAGATCCGAATTGAAGGGCAATCGTAGAATTTCCCATATGAACAAGAGATTCAAGCATAACAAAGAATGGGAAAACAACAACATTTGCCTTTTCTTTTCGTAATGATTGTAGAGAGTGAGGAATATCTTGTAGAATTATACTACACATACGTGATCCAATAGCGGTTACAAAAGTAGACATACGAGCATCCCATTCCCGTAATTCTATAGCTTGAGAAGGAGAAGCATGAAGACTTGCCTTATCTGTACCATTATTATAACGAAGAAGAGATTGGGCATCTGAAATAATGTTCAAAAATCCAACGAGAACCTTCGATTCACTCTCATTTACTAACCAGTGTTGAATTAATCTACGTGGTGTATAGTAAATAATCCATAACATCGTTACCACAAGTTGACGTTTGTCACCAACAGCTACCGCAGAATCAAGTTTAGTGTACAGTTGTAGGTACGTCTTCCAATTTGAAGACAATGAACGAATTAATACAAAAAACTGCGAGGCCACATACTTAAGAGTAACAGCAGGAATATGTGGATTATTTGTAATACCGCAAAAGAATGAATAGAGTACATCTATGGCAGAGGCTCTCGTGTCTCTATCCTTATGTACAAGTAAACTTGATAAGACATCCACTAATATACGTGTTAGAAAAACTGGTTTTGTATAAAATGGAGATGGTAACATTAAATTTACCACTTCTGGATCTTCTAGAGTAATTCTCAGAAAAACACATGTTCCATCCATGTCTCCCATCTCTGCAAGATGTTCAACCACACGTTGGTAAATCAATAAAACTTGACCACGATCACAGTAGTTAAAAAGATTACGCACAAAGAGAGCAACGCGTTGTACCAATCCACCATCAACTGCAAAACCATGAAGAACACTTAAGAAAGTAACACAGAGATCCCCCAGTATTGTGTAAAAACTAGGGTGAAACAGTTGATTTCTATGAATCTTTGGCCGATCTAATGCCCAAAGATACAGAGAACGCAATATAACATCAAAAAGAAACCAAGATAAATCTGCCATTTGCTTTTTAATATTACGGGCGGTTTGTTTACCTTTTGATTCACCTGCTGGAGCATCAACAGGATTTTCTGTTGCATTTTCTTTAGACTTTTTTAATAGATTTAGCCATGTTTCTGCAACGCCAGCATATACACGATACCTTTTTCCACTATATAACACATCATTAGTAAAATAATGATATAAATATATTGCCGCAGAAGTCTTTGCATAAGTATTTGATCCCTGTTCTTTCTTCCGTTTTGCTGCCCGTGAAGCCAAATCATATTGTTGTGCTTTAAACATTATGTCTATAAAGACATCTAATGCAGCAGTGCGGCAATCCAAACTTACCCGTTTTGATGGAGAACTGATAATGGCAAGGTTAAAGGATGAAAGTAGTGGATAGAAAGCCAAAATCTCTGCAAGAGGTAATCTTTGCATAAGATCAACTATCTTTAGATGTGTACTGTCGTCATTGATCTCCCCAACCTCACCTATATTACCTGAAGATGCAAGAACGTCATCATTTTGTGATACACTCACTAAAGCAGCAGGTATGTGTTTTAAGACTCCTGCAATAATATTATTGGAAGCATGAACAGACGTACGTGTTTGAGTACTGGCACGAAGAACAGGTGAACCATTATTAACAAGTGCAGCGGATGGGGCCTCAGGAAACTTTGTAAGATACCCTCCTGCAGCAATCACCACTGCTTGATCAACAGAAACAAAGTTTATACTCCAATCTTGCTTTACTTGAACTACGCCATTGCGGCAAATAGGGAATGCTGCGTAGCCAACTTTGTAAAGTCTTTGCTGTCCCGCTGATGGGGGATTCTTTTTTTGGTAGGAAGCATAAAGTGTAATAAAGATATGGTGAGAATCTGTTAAATAAAGAGGCAATTGTATTTTAAATTCATCACTTAATTCAAAATCAGCACAATTGTGAACTGTTGAGGTCCATGCAGAGGTTTCAAGTGTTTTACCGGACAAACTACGTCCATATATAAGTGGTAATCCTTCTTCAGAAAGTGAAACATCTTGATCCTTCACACACAATTGCATTACAAATGTACGATGGGTATTTGGTACCTTGCGAAGTACACCTGTGTTTGCAATTTTTACTTTATTAATACGGAAATAATACACATTATGGTATGCATGAAAGAAACCAGAGTTAAGAATAGGGATAGAGCAAGGAGCATACCTGTATGTCTCTGCTCGTGCTCCAGGAACATCTGAGTTTAATAAACTCACAACTGTTTCATTCTCTTCTGGACGAGGTTCACTGAATTCAGTGGGAAATGCCACTTCATATGTTGTACAGTCAGAAAGAGAAAACTCTAACTCAAATGGAACCGTTCGCAAAGCATTACGAGAGCGTTCATCATTAACAAGTTGGTAAAGTTGAGTATCATCAACGGCTTTACGGTAAAGACGTTTTAATTCTATCGTTTCTGTTGGTTTTCGCTCTTGCCAACACCGTATCGCTCCCCATCCAAGTTCTTCTAATGCATCTGATGACATTGCAAGTAGTTGAGTCTCTTGTTTCATTGGAATCACATGTTGGCTCTTGTATCGGTCGGGTCTTGTGTAAAGATCAACATAATTCTCAAAGTCCTCACTTGCAGGACGATAAACACGTACTACAAGATAGAGTGAACCAAGGAAATCCTGCGGAATGAAAGTTACCACCCGATTTTCTCGACAAAGTTCCCTGCGTTCTTTATGGGGATAAAAAATGTCAACAGCAGAGCCAAAATAAAATGTCTCAGAAACCTTCATACTGCTATTTGAAGAAATATTGCAAAAATATAAGGCGAAGATCAATGGATCAACATCATTCCCATGAATATTAATCATAGGGCCAGCAATTTTTGTGCATTCAACACGAAGTGGAACACCACCAGAAAATACTTTAGCAGAAGTTGTTGGTTTTTTCGTATCAACATCACCACTCCAAATGTTACTTGCTGTTGGTCCTCTTGTATATGTCTGTTTTCCCTGCGCGTTATCTTTCATTCCTTTAATAAGATCAAAGGAATGACCACGCGCTCTTTCCCATACCTGAATAGGATCACCAAATGAAACCCGATTAACGGCTTTACTAACTGTTGTATTTGCTGTCTCTGTAAGAAGTTCGTAATGCGGCATCATACACTCAGACGGTGCATTGTGTGGAAGATCATCATCATCAAATGTCACGGATGGATCATTTAACAATTCACTCTCAAAGAAACAGTGCATGGTGCTCAGTCGTCGACGAACGCCACCTTCATCTAGCTCTCGTTCCGCAATACGTTTCAACCGTGAGAGAAAACTGGTAATTATGAATTGCTTAGCACGAAAGAACCCAAGCTGCATGCTGACAGCGGAAAGATCCCCCTCTCGTTCCTCACCAGGAGGATACAAACAACGTCCGGGCTCTCGTATCGTAACATACTCATGACACTCAATACGACGACTACTCACATCTGTTTCAGAAAGGCCTAAACGCCGCAATTCTGCTAACGTATGCGTCTCAAACATCTCATGTTCTGGATCTTCATCAGGGTAAACTTCCACGGCATTGATCAAATCATTCCCCAAAATACCATTATCATTTTGGGTTTGTCCAATAACAATACTAGATGCAAGACTCACATCCGACGTAGTCTCATAATCCTCACCACTACCATAACTCCTTGGACTGTTATTTATCCCTGAATAACTTGAAGAATGAACTTCATCTTTTTCCAAAAGCAAACTCACATGTGCGCTATCTTCTACACCTTCAGGATATGAAGAATTACCGTCCATTCCAGGATTAGCAGATGACGCATGCGCATGAACAAGAGAACTTCCAACCTCATCTAATCCAGAAGCTGCTTCATTACACTCCATATCCATTACTCCACTGCGACTAATGCCTAAAACCCCATGCTCAGCAACTTGAACCCCAAGTCCCTCACTCTCCCGCTGTCGTTGAAGGGCCTCTTCTCTTGCGCGCTCCTCAGCCTCCCGCTGTCGTTGGAGGGCCTCTTCTCTTGCACGCTCCTCGGCCTCACGCTGTC